TTTTATTGGACGTTCGTTTTTCGGGAGGGATTTCAACTGGGGTAGTGCATTTAATTGATTTTAAAATAGCGGAAAATTTTTATTTTTACATATAAGTTATAAATTAGTATTATAACTGATTTTAAAATAGCGAAAAAATTATAATATCTTCGGTGTTGGAATTGTATAGAATGGTACAAAATTGGAATAGTTTTTTGTAAGGTTTAATATTTTTTTTGTCACATATTTATGATGTATTATATACCAACTAACTAATTTGGATTTACTGAATCATAAAATTTTCTGGTAGATGCGGTACCATAAAGTTCATATTTCAAAATTTAATTAAAATGCTAAATAATTTTTTATTTATATAAAACATGTATTTATTCAAAGCTTATATGAATCTCATCCAAAAATTAGAATAGCCATATACTAAATTTGGCTATAAATCATTTACATCTTTTTTTTGTTTGTTCAACCACATTATTCACCTTTTCATCTTTCAGATCATCTATTTTTTTATTCAGATCATCAATCTTTTCATTTTTTTCCTGCTTTTCTTTTCTTAATTCATTGATTGTTAACAGCAAATTACTCTCAATTTGATTTCTAGCAGCGATTATTTTGTTAATTTCTACTTTTAATGTTTTGATTTCTTCTTCATTTTCCACCTTCTCATGTTGTAATTTGACAAGATCTTTTTGTGTAAAAGAGTACTTTAAAGTGAGATCCGTATGTATTTTTTGGAGCTCCGAACGTTTTGCTTCGAGGTCCTGAACCTTATTTTTTGATTCTTGAATTTGTATTTCAAGGTCTTGAATCTTATTTTTTGCTTCTTGAATTTGTGCTTCGAGTTCTTTGTGTGACAGTTTAAGATTCACTTTTTCTGTTTCGAGGACCTGAATCCTATTTTTTGATTCTTGAATTTGTGATTCAAGTTCTTTATGAGACAATTTATGGTTTACGAGTGCCAATTCGAGGGCAGCATTCTCTATCTTTAAGTTGGTATTTTCGGATTCTAGCGCAGCATTTTTTATTTTCAAATCTGTGTTTTCCGCTTCTAAGTTATTTGTATTCCAAATATTTGCTAGTACCTATTCGAAATATGATTCATTAGAATAATTAGAATGATTATGTTAATTATTAATAAATAAAGGATTTTTACGTTATTAAGATTTTCTATGATCACGAATAATCTTTCATTGGTCTACTATAATGATTATCAAAATTAATTAGTAATACTGTTAAATATCATATCAAATATTTTTTAGATATACCTACGTATTGCCAGATATTATTAACATTGTCAATATTATTCTATTTAAATAAAAGTTTTTAAATAACATAAATTAATAGCATAAATTGATTCAATAATGCTATTTATACCTTTATAGTAAACACACAGATTATCGTGAGTACAACAATAATTGCAATAAAACGCCAGTTTATATTATTATTATTAGTCCTATTATTCCGATTATTATTATTATTATTAGGATAGATATTAATTGATTGATGCTGTTGTTGTATTTGATCCAAATTATTATCCAAATCCTTATTCGAACTTTCGTTAACTATTATAGGGGGTTCATTATCACATAAGATTAAACTATTCGAACTTGAAATCGACTGTGACTGCTGTTGGTGATCTGCTGTTTGATTCGACAAATATTCTTTCGGATTTTTATCTTTTGAAATGTTATTAGCTATTGAATTTGAATTCGAAATACATTCTTCAGAACTTAGAATGGAATTTGTTAACTCCTCAATTAAGGATTGATTAGATTCTGCTTTTTTCGCTATCTTTAATTCAAGTTCTTAGCAATGTTAACAAAAAATATAATTAACAAATTAATATGAAATTTCTAATAAAAAAAATGCAAAATGAACTTTAATACCATTGGTATAACATCGGGCGGCAGTAAAAAATTCTTCTGTAAATTTATTTGATTCTTTAATAGCTCTTAGTGTATCATGAAGCTTCACTTGATTAGAAAAAGATAAACTGCGTTTTAAGTCACTTGGAAATTTTTTACAATAGTTTTCATAGTCGACTTCTGATAACGTAACAGACGGAATCTCATTTTTTCGAATACGACCCATTATTGGTGAGATTTAGAGGTGAATTCTTATATTGAGATTAGAGGTGAGAACTATTAATATTGTAGTTTATTTTAAAAATGCTAGTTTTAAAATTACAGTTTATAGTTCACACCTCTAGAACTTACTTTCTTTAAATAATGATCAAACGAGCGGACGCGTCTCAAAGCATATGGATCTAATCAGTACATACTTCACGAGCTTTTTCTGTATTTACATGTTTAACAAACTTGGTCAGTGAATAAAATTACCAGTTTTAGCAAAATAAAATATGTTTAATAATCGGGATTCAGTGTCTTATATGGATTTATATACATCACGTGAATTTTATAATTAAGGGTCAGTCAATTGACTCTCATGTAAGACATATATATTATGTACTTTAAAAAACAACAATCATTTAGGAAAATCGCATGTTACAACTAAGTTCAGCAATTTTTCATCAGCCAATTATATGGTACGAATTTTTATCTATGATTGGCTACTTAAGCACGTGCATTTTCAGATCCAAATGTCTGCTTCGGACAATTAGTGCGTTAGTAGTGTGAACTCTTCATTTGTCATTTGACTTAATAAATAATATCACGTGAATTTTACTTATGTATTGATGAATTTATGTCATATGTAGTATTTAAAGATAATAACTCGCGTGTACAATAATTCTATTTTGAAAATGTCGCATGAGATTTTACTTTGTCAAGAAAACTACACAAATTCAAAGAATCAATAAACTTCATTAATAAATCGTGTGAAATTTTACTTCGTTAAGGTATTTACAAACTTCAATGGGCGAACTGCATAAGGGTACAGTCAATATACTTGTTAGTTTTGATAGTTTTGACGAAGTTATCTGTATGAAAAACTTTTCTGGCTTCCCGAATCATGTGCTTCAGTAACAAATATCTCCTTAAAATCTCTTTAGAAATCTAATCACTATAATATACATTACGTGATCATAGCAATTGATTAAGAATACTAGTTTTTGCGAAATATCACGTCAAATCACAATCAAACCTGATACTGATATGTCTGATATGGTGAGGAAATTTTTATATAAAAAACTACTTTAATTTGAATGAATAGAAGCTGCATGATTTACAATTTTTCAATCTAAATTTAATTTCAGTTTTATATAAGTAATATAAATTAATACATTTATAAACCGGTTTTGAGAAAACCGGATAAAATTATATATGCTCTATTTTAATACTAAAAATACAATCAAATAAAATATTTAGTACGAGTTTATCTAAAATGGTTTACTGGCACTGTACTCCGGCACTTGTGATTATACATAGTAAAATCCTTGTATCATCTCTAATTCCAACTTTAAATTGGCAATATTTATTTTTCCAACCCATTCTGACCTAATTTGGTTGAAAGTCACAGGATTTTTATTTTCAACGAAATAAAATGAAGATAAAACTAAACGAACTAATTGAAGAGAACTAAATGAAACTCATATGAATTATTATTTAATTTTCATTACTAACTAATTTCTCATACAACAAAAAAATCATAAAAATTTAAAATTGTAAAATCACAATCAACAAACAGTTACGGTTCCCAAAATTATTCAACGCTATATATCTATAAAAACTGACTACAGTCAACAAACGGTTTCAGTTTCCCATATGCTGTCATTATTATCAGAATCCAATTTTCTACCGTCACTTTTTTTTTGAATTATTTCTTTTAACATGTTTTCTACTTCCAAACCAAATTCATTACCACTAAATCGCAGTGAGTTTAATGTTGCGTTCACGTTAAGGGAAATTGTTAATGCTATTCCTGCATCACTTCCAATGACATTATACGAGAGATCTAAAGAAGTTAAACCATTATTTTTATCAAGTGCATCCGCAAATGCTTTTCCAGCCTCAGACCCAAGTTGGTTACCATTAACTTGCAATGAGTTTAATGTTGCGTTCACGTGAAGGGAAATTGCTAATGCTATTCCTATATCATTTTCAAGGCCATTATACGAAACGTCTAAAGAAGTTAAACTATTATTTTTGTGAAGTGCATCTGCTAATACTTTCCCACCATTGGATCCAAGTCTGTTACCGGTAAGGTTTAAAGTTGTTAATGTATTATTTTTACAAAGAGCATTTGCTAATGCTTTTCCTCCTTCACAACCAAGCTGATTAGATGAAAGATTCAAATGAATTAAACTGTTGTTTCTGATAAGGGCATCAGCTATAGCTTTTCCTCCAGAAGGGCCAAGGTTATTATTTGTAAGATCTAAGGATGTTAAGGAGTTATTTTTGCAAAGAGCATCTGCTAGCGCTTTTCCACCATCTGATCCAAGTTTATTACTGGAAAGAATTAAAATTGTTAATGTATTGTTTCTGCAAAGTGCGATTTCTAATGCGATTCCTGCTAAGGAATCAAGACCATTATACGAAAGATCTAAAAAAGTTAACCTTTTGTTTTTTTGAAGTGCATCTGCTAATACTTTTTCACCCTCAGATCTAAGAAAGTTAAGGCAAAGATCTAAAGTATTTAACATATTGTTTTTGCAAAGAAATTTTGCTATCGCTTTTCCTATATCAGCGCCAAGCTGATTATTTGAAAGATTCAAATTAACTAAATTGATCTCATTTTCGAAAAGAGCCTTTGCTATTTCTTTTCCTCCAAAAAAACCAAGATTATTATTTGAAAGGCTTAAAGTGTTAAGATTCTTACTTTTTCATATAAACAATAAAATCAAAGAAGCAGTTATTTCAGTATAACTTCCTTTACATTCATTAAGTAAATTTAACACTCCTCTGATCAAACTCCGACCATTGATTGATGTAATATAACTTGCATAGTCAAACAATGGCTTCGAAATGTCAATTTTAAACGGGATTAATTGAGTTTGATCTTCAGTATTTAGTTCAAAAAAACACAATTCGATGACTCTTTTATCTTCAAAATAAGGTTTACTCCATAGTATCGGTAGAGTTCCGCAATTCGATTTGATTTGATTTGATTTGATCAAATATTTGATCTCAAATCAAATTCAAATACAGAAAT